TGGAGCGAGGGATATCACAGCTGATTACAGATGGATCTTGGCTCAAAGCAAAGAATACCAGAAAGATGTTTACTTGTGTTATATTGACTTTGCAAAGGCATTCGATTGTGTGGATCATAACAAATTGCAGATAACAGTGAGAAAATGGGAATTCCAGAACACTTGATTATATTGATGAGGAACCTATACACAGACCAGGAGGCTGTCGTTCAAACAGAACAAGGGGATACTGCATGGTTTAAAATCAGGAAGGGAGTGCATCTGGGTTGTATCCTTTCACCAAATTTATTCAATCTGTATGCTGAGCAGATAATCCAAGAAGTTGAACTGTATGAAGAACAGGGCACCAGGATTGGAGAAGGGCTCATTAACAACCTGAGCCATGACACAACATGGCTTGCTTAAAGTGAGGATGACTTGGAGCACTTACTGATGAAGATTAAAGACTACATTTTGCAGTATGGATTACATTTCATTAAAAACAAAAATCCTCACAACTGAACCAATAAGCAGCATCACGAAAAATGGAAAGAAGATTTAAGTTATCAAAGACTTCATATTGCTTGGTTCTACAATCAACACCAACAGAAGCAGCAGTCAAGACATCAAAAGATGTATTGCATTGGGCAAAGCTGTTGCAAAAGACCTCTTTCAAGTGCTGAAGAGCAACGATACCTCCCTGAAGACGAAGATGTGCCTAACCCAAGCCATGGTATCTGCAATCGTCTCATATGCATGTGAAATCTGGACAATGAGTAAAGAAGACCGAAGAAAAGTTGATGCTTTTTGAGTTGTGGTTTTGGCGAAAAATGTTGAAAGTACCGTGGGCTGCTGAAAGAACCAACAAACCTGTCCTGGAAGAATTGCAGCTGGAATGCTCTTTGGAAGTGAGAATGGCCAGTTCGTCTGACCTACTTTGGTCAGGTTGTCAGAAGGGACCATTCTCTGGAGAAGGATGTCATGCTTGGTAAAGTGGAGAGTCAATGAAAAAGGGGAAGGCCCTCAACAAGATGGATTGACACAGTGGCTGCAGCGATGGACTCAGGTATAGTAGGGATCGTGAGGCTGGCACAGGACTGACTGGGGCAGTGTTTCGTTCTGCTGTACATACGGTCGCTATGAGTTGGAGACGGCTCAACAGCACATAACAAGAACAAGAACAACAACAAGATTACACTCTCAATTTAATCTGCTACGTGCTCCTGTATTTTCCCATTTTTATTTCAGAAGAAATATAACTACAGACAAGTTGTGTGATCATGGTCAAATTATTTCTCTAAACTTACCTCCATAATTGTGAAATGGGAGTAAGTATACTTACATCATAAGGAGCTCTGGTGGTGTAGTGGTTAAGGAAGCTGGCTGCTAACCAGAAGGTTGGCGGTTCGAACCAATAGCTACTCTGCAGAAGAAAGATGAGGCAATCTGATTCTGTAAATATTTATAGCCTTGGAAACCCAAAGAGGGTCACTATGAGTTGGAAGAGACTCAATGGCAGTGGATTTGGTTTTTTAAAAAATACATGTATCAAAGTTGTTTGGTGAGATTAAAGTAAACAATACGTGTAAAATGCTTCCCACAGTTCTTTGCACGTATTAAAATAGCTGGTATCTTCCCTTTTGCTGTTGCTGCCTCTTTCTGTTTGCAAGTTCTGTAACATCAACAAGTTAAATTATATTTTCTCTCATCCATTGCCTCAGATTCTATACTATATGTTCTTAGCTTTGGTGAATGTGCGCTTGCCAACGCAAGATGAAAAAAAGAAATCTTTAGTAGGAGTGTCCATGGATGCACTACATAAAAATTGACACTTTTTCTCAAAGTTCTATTAATTATGCTTCAAATATGCATTTTCATCACTAACTTAAAAAGAGCGAGAATAAATTATTTCATTGCCTATTATTTCATTAAAGATTTTATTTTTGATTCAAGGCTTATACTGTAAATTTTTATAAATGCTCATGGTCTTTTGTTCTATAATTGCTCTCAATTATTTCTATTTCTGTAAACATGGCTCTATTAAACAACTTGTAACTCTCAAGATCTGGTACTAAATGTTTGTAAAGTTTAAAATGAAATTATGATATGCCAGGCACTGTGTTGAAGATACCAATTGGAGTAGAAATGGCTTCTGTTTTAAGGTGCTTACTGCCTAAAGGGAGCTCTGGTAGCATAGTGGCTAAGACACTTGCCTGCTAACCAGACGGCTGGCGGTTCAAACCCACCAGCCACTCCTCGGAAGGAAGGTTGGGCAATCCTACTTCCGTAGTGATACTGCCTCGGAAACCCAAGGAGGGGTCGCTATGAGTCGGGGCCGACTCGACGGCACATAACAACAACAAAAACAACAACAACTACAACAACAACTGCCTAAAGCACATGTGATATACAGAGCACAGTTCTATTCTGAAACACATGGAGTCACCTTCAGTTGGAATTGGCTGGCCGACAACTGGTTTGGTTTCTTTGAATGATTATTAGTATTCATTTGTTTCCCTAAGACATATGAAACAATCTAATTATGATTTTTAAGGGTTCATTTTTTATGATTGTTATATATTAGTCCTTACACTATCTCAAAGACTGGCTAGTGTCTGTTAATAAGTAAATACATTTTATTTAATAATAAAACTTTAATTTTCTTTTTAATAAAGTATTTCCAAATAATATCAATTCAAGAGTGAATGGCTACCCAGGAGGTAAAGGAGTACAGAAATAAATAAAATTGAGGAGACAAATCTGTATAAGAAAATAAGACTTTATATTATACTTTGTTACCAAGCCTATATTCTTGCCTTTAATATAATTTAAGAGTTTTATAGGTTGAAGTACTGATTTTTTTAACATTGATAAATTTCTACATATTTTAACTTATATGCCAACTTTTACTTTTAAATCTTTGAACACTACTACATGATCATGGTTTATATCTAAACTAATGAAATTTATGTAGGTACTTTGTTTCTGTCTAAGTTGTATTTCTCAGAATCATAATGATAATTAATGTAAGTAAGTAAAGGAGTTACCACAAAAAATAATCTGACCTTTGGTGGAAATACCTTTAAAAAAACCCAAAAAACCAAGTAGACTCTCTCCTGAGGACAAGGTAGACTGTCAGCTTCTTTTAGTTTACCTTGATCCTATAGAGGCCCAAGAAGTTCTGATGGTGTAGTACCTAAGGCATGTGACTTCTAACCAGAAGGTTGGCGGTTCAAATCCACCAGCCACTCCATGGAAGGAAGATAGGGCCATCTAATTCTTAAAGATTAACCCCTTTGGAAACCCAGTGGGGGTCGCTATGAGTCGTAATCCACTCGATGGCAGTGAGTTTTAATAAGAGGGGCCCAGTGTTAGTAGGGAATAGGGAAACAGATGGATTCTTTTGCTAGCAGTAGTGGTTCCAGAATGTTTATATGAGTATCCTGGGGACAGTCAAATAGAAGAGTGGCTTGATTTGTGTGGAAGATATCAACCACTGCTTTTACTTAGTGTGTTTATTGAGAAAGACTTGGGGCTGATGCACATCAGTGCCCACATGAAGCGATCCCTCTCTGATCAGGCCCCTCATCCCTCGCCTACCTCACAACTGCATGGGGAAGGATATGGGGGAAGACCTCTGGAGGAAGGGACCTGCACTAGGATGAAGAAGGGTTGGCCTCTGATGCCTGCCTTGTGTGCTGCTGTGCCCTCCTCTTTCACCCCTCACACTACCATTTTTGGACTGGGTCCTTGGCCTTGGATGACCTCAGCCTTTTTATTCCACCGTTCCCCCTCCCTGATTCCTTTTTTCCCAAATGAAGGACACCTGTCTTCATCCAGAAGGCAAATGGGGACAGCTGGCAAAGAATTGGGGGTCACTGACTGGGTGGGCTGAGAAGGGCACTTAAAAGCTTTAGGAGGATGGATCTTCTCTGGTAAAAGGGAGCTGGGACAGAATAAAGAGGATCTAGGGCAGAGAATTCAACTTGCAGACAGTGGAAGGCCCGGTGGATTGCTGGAGGGTGGAACATTCTCTGAGACCCTGGTGGCTTAAGTGGTTAAGGACTCAAATACTAGCCAAAAGATTGGCAATTTGAACCCACTGAGAGGTGCTGTGGAAGACAGGCTTGGTGATCTGTTTCCAAAAGCCTTGCAAATCTTATGGAGTGCAGTTCTACTCTGAAACACATGGGGTTGCCAAAAGTTGCTATCAACCTGACAGCAACTATCAGCTAACAACATATTTTCTGAAAGGGAAGGGAGATTCAAAAGCCTGCTCTCTGCTCTCTACCCACTGTAGACTCCTTCAGGAAACTCATCAGACCCTTTGCATAGAATTTGTAGAGTTGTTCATGACATCTCCTAAATTCAGAGGGGAAGAGGATCAAAGGATGGGAATAGGGTTGTTGTTGTTAGGTGCCACTGAGATATCTCCAATTCATAAAGACCCCAAGTACAACAGAATGAAACACTGCCTGGTCCTGTTTCACCCTCACAATCCTTGCTATATCTGAGCTCACTGCTGGAGCCACTGTATCATTCCATCTCATTGAGGGCCTTCCCCTTTTTCAGTGACCTTCCACTTTAGCAACCATGATGTCCTTCTCCAGGGAATGCGCCCTTCTAGGGCAGTTGTGTGCAATGAGAAGGCTCAGGGCTGAGGGCAGGGTCAGGATGCAGTTGGGAACAGAGGGAGTTCGGCTTGGTAAGGGGTTCCTTGGGAACTACATGGGCTAAAGGACTTTTGGGGTGGACAAAGAGCATTTCTCTTGCCAAGACATGGAGGTCATTGTCTCCCTGGGATGAACCCCAACAATGTATGGAGTGGCCTCTCCCAGGCAAGCAGGGAACTTGTCCTTTTTGTCTGCCTAAGCATCTCTTCTCACGCTATGCATCACAGGGAGCTTGAAGAACCAGACCAGCGGTGAGATGTGGGGGGAGGTAGGGGAGGAAGTTGGGTAACTAAAAACAAACAAAAAAAGAAACAAAAAAAGAAACAAAAAAAGAGCCATTTTTGTCTAAAAAGGATATAAAAATTTTTACTCATGGCAGTTTATTCTTCAAAGTTGTCAAAAGGCGGACAATGGCAATAGGGTTATTCCAGCTTTATTAAAAATTTTAATTTCAAATGAAATAATGTGACAGTGATGTATGAGAATATAATCAAAGACTGCAAGTAACCTAATTCTTTTTCTTAGTATGCTCAAGCCTCCAGGCACCAGTCAAGTATCGAAGTCGTATAAAAAGTAGGTCCTTGCCCATTTGTAGCCAGCTCCAAAATGGAACTAATTTAGAACCTGTGATTTAAAAATAATTAAAAACAAATTAACTTAAATAAAACTCAGGGGAAAATATATCCATATAAAAATAGACTTCAGAAATCAGTCTACATGATCTTTGTGAATCTCTAATCATCTTTATTCTATTTAAATCATAGACATAAAAAGTAAAAATTTTCAAAGCTAAAGTGAGCTTTTTGTTTTTTTCCTAAAAAGAAAAATAACACCAAAACATTTTGAAGTGAAATGAAATTTGGAAGATTTAAATTGTGAAGATTTCAAATGGCTCCAACATTGGGAAGGAGGGACTGTATGTGGAATGCCTAATATAAAAACTGCTCATTAAGAGCTGGTTAATGGAATTAACAATTACATACAAAGGAACTATCTGCAACACAGATACATACAATTACTCCTACATATGAATCCAGTTTTAATGGTGAAAAATAAAGCCTATGATCAGAGTTAAGAAAATTTAGAAAAATTTTCTCTTGATCTCTTTGTTCCAGGCTGTATGTATGTTGTTTTTGTTAGCTGTCCTTGAGTTAGTCCCTGACTCATGGTGATTCCATGCATAAAACCGTTGTAATTCATAAGGCTTTCAAAGGCTTATTTTTTAGAAGTATATTGCCAGGCCTGCCTTCTTAGTCTGTTTTAGCCTGGAAGCTTGGTTGAAATCTGTTCAGCATCATAGACACACACAAGCCTCCAATGACAGATGGGCAGTGGCTGAGCATGGAGAAGCATTGGCTGGGAATCATACCCAGGTCTCCTGCATGGAAGGCAACATAGGTAAACCAGTCTAATTAAATGTTCAATCCATGTATCACAGTGGGTCTTTATGAATTGTTATTTGTCCTATAGCTGCAGATAAATAAACAGGAGGGAAGTGTAAAGTAGCAATATCATTTTAGTTACACTTTCCCCTCAAAGACGTTTTACAATGATGTAAATTTACTTAGCTGCCTTCTTGAGGAAACTGGTAGTGCAGTGGTTAAGAGTTTGGCTTACGGAAAGGTCAGCAGTTCGAACCCATGGGAGAAAGTTGTGGCAGTGTGCTTTTGTAAAGATTACAGCCTTAGAAACCCTATGGACAGTTTCACTCTGTCCTACAGGTTTGCTATGAGTCAAAGTCTACTCAACAGCAGGTTTGGTTTTTTTCTTTTTGGTTTCTTCTTTTGGAAACAGTGCCATCAAAGCACCTTGCAGACATTAGCCTTATTCTTTATTATTAAGCAGGGGCAAATATTATCATTTCATAAATGAAGAATTTGAAGTATCTATAATTCATATTACCCTAAGACTATCTCTATAACACAATTAAGCAAATGACAAACATGAAATAGTTTTTCAGTTATCTGTACTTCAGCTTCCCACAGTCTATGTTGTGTGATAAAATGAAGGTTATAATTGATCATTACAACTGAGTGATCCTTTTACTTTCTTCCCAATCCCTTCTGAACTAATGTTGCAACTGTAGAGATTAGTTAGATTTCTATAAACTCAGCTATGATTCAGCAAGCCTCCAAAAAGTTTGCTGTTCGAGATCATATAGTCTGTATAATCTCTAGGCTAGTTCTTAATCATTTTCAGTTCCTAAACATCTGAGTTTACACAGCTATGGTGGCTTCTGCAACCATGACTCTCAAAGAGATGTAGTTTGAAAAAAAGGCTCAGTTGATTTGTTAACTGCTCCCAAACCCTCAATCAATTTAGGTACAGTCTAAGGTAAGCAAAAGAGAAAACTAAGATATATTTTAAATTCTATCCAGTCAGAGGTGTCTAAGCATTTCTGACATAAAATATGAGAAATCAGACTTCAAATTATTATAAATTTATAAATTTTTGCATATAGATACAGATAGCAGCTAAAATATGGCTCTGAGTAGACTATGGACATTTGGAATAAAGTAATTCTTTATTCAGCTTTACATAATAGTTTGTAGGTACTCAATTACTATCCACTGAGTGATAAAATAATATAATGCTAATTAGTGGTAATACAAAAAAATAAAGTTTATCTAAAAAGACTGTCAACTTCCTTCTAAGGTCAGATCACCATGACAATAGGTTTTATTGAAATTTCTTGGCCAGGGTACTTGGCCTACAGAAAACTCAAGAAGAGAGTGCAAAATGATAGAAGGCAGTAAGCCAGACAGAGGAAATTAACAGGCAGTAAAGAATCCCTGCTAGTGCAGTAATTAAGCACTTGGCTGCTAACCCAAAGGTTGGTAGTTTGAACCCACTAGCTACTCTGTGGAGAGAAAGATGTGGCAGCAGTCTGCTTCTGTAAAGATTTATAGCCGTGGAAATCCTATGTGACAGTTCTATTCTGTTGAATAGGGTTGCTATGAGTCAGAATCAACTCCACAGCAGTGGGTTTAGTTTGGTTTTTAAAGGAGCCCTGGTGGCACGGTAGTTAAGTGCTTGGTTGCTAACCACAAGGTTGGCAGCTCATAGCCACCAGCCACTCTGTGGGAGAAAGACATGGCAATCTGCTTCTGTAAAGATATATAGCCTTGGAAACCCCATGGGGCAATTCTGTATCCTATGGGGTTGATGAGTCAGAATCGTGTGAAGGCAGTAGGTTGGGTTTGGTTTACTCTCATGAACGGGCTCTTAGGACCTGAAGCAGGTGGGGGGAAGCAGGAAGAGATTAATGCTAGTTGACTTTATTAAATAATTGCATTGTCTGAAGCCTTTCCCTATTGGATTCAAGATCAGCTATAACATAGACAACATACCTTCAATTTCAGTCCAGTTGACAGCAACTTCAGCTATTGGAATTTTAAAGAACTGTGCTATATAAAGCAGTTCTACATCAAATGCCCTGAAATAGAAAATATATTGATATTTATTTTAAAAAAAGACAAAGAGAATGTAATTAAATGTCTACTTGTCATGACTTGAAGCTTACATGACAGATGCAAAGCTTATACTTTAAAACTGAAGGTCAGATTCACATAAGGACAAATAATTACAATCTTAATGGTTCAGAAACTTCAAGGAAGCTTTAGTATCTGACTACGTAACATTTAAATGACAAATATGGTGCCCCCATCACAACTCAGATACTCTTGGAGGTTAAAACAGCTTCTTGGGCTCAGAGAGAAAATTTAACCTTGGAAATTCTCAAGATCGATGGTTTTCAATCTTAGCCCTATCCAGATCAAGGTACAGAGTAGAAAGCATTTTCAAATGATTCAGAGGACTGATAAAACAAAATTCCGAGAAGATCAAGGAGAGAGTGTTATGATCACTTTAGAGTTGCTTGCTTACTTTCCTCTAACACCAAAGGAGGAACTGAAGCCTTCTTTTCTAAATACAATGTCTCTCAGGCAATGTGTTTTCCTTTTCTGTCTCCATGCTGTGCTGGACAAAACAGTACCCAGCAGCTGTTTAAGTGAAACACAACTTTAGAATGGTCTGAAAAGCTTTTCAAGTAAAGATAAATAGATACCTAGGCAATTAGATATATTTTACTTGCATGAACTGTTAAAATCATCTCTAGTCCAAACTCCCAGTTTAGCCTTCTTTCTATCTATGAAAGGTTTCATCAGATCCCTCTCAGAAGGTAAGAGCTCTACCAAAGGACTGGAACAACTTTGGATATAAGGGCTCCAGACAGAGTTAAGACTGACAGGGCACTGTGCTGAACAGACGATTACATGAAAGTTTTCTGATGGAACAGTGAGATCCCATTCCCTTTCCCCTGTTTGGTCCTGTGAATGCTGGCAGCCAGACTCATATCTCCTATTCTTCATTGAAGAATCCTGCTTTAATGAAAATTACCAACCCAAGAGAAGATATCAAAAGATGACAATTTAGAATTTCCTAGGAATACATGCTAGCTAGATTAACTTGTCATGAAGTCTACAAGTCAGTCAGAGGCCCTGCCCAAGCACAGAGACTCCAAATAGCTTTGCAGTACTACACTAAAGACATATGAGGAAAGGCCTTTAGAGATAAAAACAAACAAAAAGGAAAAATTGGAGGTAACAGAAATAATGCAGGATTGAAGAAAATGTCAAAGTTTTAAATCAGACATTCAGAGAGCTAGTGGAAGATAGTGTACTGATGAGATTCTTAAAAAAGTGAATACTGGAAAACAAAATGTTTTTGAAAATTAAAATTCTGATAGAAATAAAAATCCAAAAGGACAGGTGGAAGACACAATTGAGGAAATCTCAAAAGAGCAAAAAGAGAAGAGAAAAGATAAAATTATAGGATCAGTAAGGAGGTCCTACACCTGTTTATAAGAAAGAGAGAACAGAGACAATGAAGAGAAGAGATTGTCAAAAAAAAGATTCAAGAACATTTCTCACAACTAAAGAACATACGTTTCTGGATTCAGAGGGTGTACTCACATACTCCCACCACTGGTCTGTCAGTTTGTTGTACTATGGTGGCTTGCATGGCGTGCTGTGAGGCTGGAGGCCATGCCACCAGTATTTCAAATACCAGCAGGGTCACCCACAATGGATAGGTTTCAGCAGAGCTTCCAGACTAAGACAGACTGGGAAGGACAGGGCCATCCACTTCTGAAAAAATTGGCCACTGAAAACCTTATCGATAGCAGTGAAGCACTGTCTGATATATAACTGGAAAATGTTATGAATAGCAATGAAATACTGTCTGATATAGTACCAAATGAGGAGCCCCTCAGGTTATAAGGCACTCCAAATATGACTAGGGAAGAGCTGCCTCCTCAAAGTAGAGTCAACCTTAATAACATAGATGGAGTAAACCTTTCAGAATCTTCATATGCTGATGGAGCATGACTCAAAATAGGAAGAAATGGCTACAGACATTAATAATCGGAATGTGGAATGTACAAAGTATGAATCTAGGAAAACTGGAAGTTGTCAAAAATGAAATGGAATGCATAAAAACTGATATCCTAGGCTCTGTTGTTATGTGCCGTTGAGTTGGATCTGAATCATAGCAACCCTTCCTTAGGTTTCCAAAGTGGTATCACTACGGAAGTAGATTGCCCAACCTTCCTTCTGAGGGAGTGGCTGGTGGATTTGAACCTCCAGCCTTCTTGTTAGCAGTCAAATGCCTTAGGCACTACGCTACCAGAGCTAGGCATTAGAGAGTGGAAATGGACTAGTTATACTAGCCATTCTCAATCAGACAATCATATGGTCTACTATGTGGGAATGAGAAACTGAAGACGAATGGCATCACATTCATCATCAAAAAGAATATTTCAGATCTATCCTGAAGTAAAATGCAGTCAGTGATAGGATAATATCCATATGCTAATAAGGAAGTCCAGTTAATACTACTACTATTCAAATTTATGCACCAACCACCAAAGCCAAAGACGAGAAAATTGAAGATTTTAACCAACTTCTGCAGTCTGAAATTGAACAAACAGGCAATCAAGACATATTGATAATTACTGATGACTGGAATGCTAAAAATGGAAACAAACAAAAAACATCAGCAGGTGGAAACTATGGTCTTGGTAACAGAAATGATGCCGGAGATAGCATCACAGACTTTTTATTTTACTTTCTTTCTTTTTTTTATGATTTGGGTGAAAGTTTACAGAGCAAATTCATTTTCCATACAGCAGTTTGTACACATTTTGTTTCATGACATTGACTGCAATCCCCATAATTTAACAGCTTTCTTCCCACTTCCTCCCTGTGGCTACCTTTTCCCTGTGTCCTTCTATTTACCATATGCTCTTATAGGCAAAAGAGGCTGTCACTTACTGGGAAGGCCATCGGCCTTGGATTATAAAGAAATGGGTTAGACTCTAGCTTGCCAGGTGTGAGCTGGATTCACTTGGACAGTGATCACTTCTCAGAAGCTCTACTTCTTCTTCTAAGGTGGGGTGAGTTCACCTACCTCAGAGGATAGCCTCAAGCATTAGATGAAAATGATGCTGAGATAGTGTACCTAAGGTATCCAATAAACAGTTACTGACTTTCTTTCTAAACAAAGTATAAATTGAACATTTTCTTGATAGCTTAGAGTCATTGCTATTGTTGTGCACCATCTAGTCAATTCTGACTCATAATGACCCTACAAGACAGAGTAGGTCTGCCCAATAGTGTTTCCTAGAGTCTCATGCTTACTGGAGGAGCTCTGGTGGCATAGTGCCCAAAGCATCTGACAGCTAACCAGAAGGATGGTGGTTCAAACCCCACCAGCCACTCCTTAGAAGGAAGACTGGGCAATCCACCTCCATAGAGATACTACCTCAGAAACCCAAGGAGGGTTTGCCATGAGTTGAATTGCGCATCACAGACTTTTGCAAGACCAATGATTTATATATTGCAAATACTTTTTTGTCAACAACATAAACTGCATCTATACTCATGGACAATGAATAAGGAAGACTGAAGAAGAGTTGATGCTTTTGAGTTGTAGTGTTAGTGAATAATGAAAGTACTATGGACTGCTAAAAGAACTAACAAATTTGTCCTGGAAGAAGTGCAGCCAGAATGCTCCTTGGAAGCAAGAATGGCCAGACTTCGTCTCACCTGATTTGGTTATGTTGTCAGAAGGAACATTCTCTGGAGAAGGATATATGCTTGGTAAAGTGGAGGGTCAATGAAAAAGGGAATGGCCGTCAACAAGTAGACTGGCATAGTGGCTGCAATGATGGGCTCAGGTATAGCAAGGATCATGAGGCTGGCACAGGACCAGGAAGTGTTTTGTTCTGCTGTATAACATAAGGTTGTTATGAGTGAGAGACTACTGGACAGCACCTAACAACCACAACAATAACAACATACCCACGGACCTCGCCAGATGGAATACACAGGAATCAGATTGACTACATTTGTGGAAAGAGCCCATGGGGAAGCTCAATATATCAGTTAACACAAGGCCAGGAGCTGACTGTGGAACAGACCGTCGATTTCTCCTTTGCAAGCTCAAGCTGAAGCTGAAGAAAATTAAAATTAGTCCACAAGCCAAAATACAACCTTAAGTATAAACCACCTGAATTTAGAAACCATCAGAAGAATAGATTTGACGCATTAAATACCACTTACCAAAGAGCAGATGAGTTGTGGGATGATATCAAGAACATCATAAATGAAAAAATCAAAAGGTCATTAAAAAGATAGGAAAGGAAGAAAAAAATCAAAATGGATGTCAGAAGAGACTCTGAAACTTGCTCTTGAACAGAGAGTAACTATAGCAAAAGGAAGAAATTTTAAAATAAAAGAGCTGAACAGATTTCAAAGGGCACTTGAGAAGACAATGTATTAGAATGTAATGTACAAAGACTTGAAATTAGAAAACCAAAAGGGAAGAACATGCTCAACATTTCTAAATCTGAAAGAACTAAAGAAACAATTCAAGGATTCAATTCCAATAGAGAAGGATTCTATGGGCAAAATATGGAATGATGCAGGAAGCATCAAAATTAGATAAAGAAATGCACAGAGTCACTGTACCAAAGAAAAACAACTGGTCGACATTTAGCCATTTCAGGAGGTAGCACGTGATCAAGAACTAATGCTGCTGAAGGAAGAAGTCCAAGTTGCAATGAAGGAACTGGCAAAAAACAAAGTTCCAGGAATTGATGGAATACCCATTAAGATTTTTTACCAAACTGATGCCATGCTGGAGGCACTCACTTATCTATGCCAAGAAATTTGGAAGACAGCTACCTGGCCATCTAACTGGAAGAGATGCATATTCCATTCCAAAGAAAGGTGATCAAACAGAATGTGGAAATTATTGAACAATATCATTAATATCATACGCAAGTAAAATCTTGCTGAAGATAATTAATAAATGGTCGCAGTAGTATATTGACAGGGAACTTCCAGAAATGCAAGCTGGATTCAGAAGAGGATGTGGAATGAGGATATCAATGCTGATGTCAGATGGATCTTAGCTGAAAGCAAAGAATACCAGAGAAATGTTAAACTATGTTTTATTGACCACACAAAGGCATTCTATTGTGTGGCTCATAGCAAATTATGGATAACTGCGTAAGAATGGGAATTCCAGAACGCTTACTAAATTGTGCTCATAAGGAACCTGTATACAGACCACAAGACATTCATTCAACAAGAACAAGGGAATACTGCATGGTTTAAAATCAGGAAGAACATGCGTCAGGGTTGTACCCTTTCACCATACTTATTTAAAGTATCTGTATGCTGAGCAAATAATTTGAGAAGCTGGACTATATGAAGACGAATGTAGCATCAGGATTGGAGGAAGATTCATTAATAACCAGCGATATACATATACACAACCTTACCTGCTAAAAGTGAAGATAACTTGAAACACTTACTGATGAAGACTACAGTCTGCAGTATGGACTATACTTCAGCGTAAAGAAAACAAAAGTCCTCACAACTGGGCCAATAAGCAACATTACAATAAATGAAGAGAAGACGGAAGTTGTGAAAGATTTCATTTGACTTGGATCCACAAACACCCAGGGAAGCACCATGCAAGAAATCAGACATCAGACTGCACTGGGAAAATCTGCTGCGAAAACCAAACCAAACTAAACCCATTGCCATTGAGTCAATTTCAACTCATAGTGACTCCCTTTGGACTTCCGATGTGGTAAACCTTTATGGAAGTATATTGTCCCATCCTCCTGTGGATCGGCTGGTGTGTTTGAACCATCAACTTTCTAGTTAGCAGTCAAATAACTGAGGCACTGTGCTACCAGAACTCCTTTAAAGTGCTGAAGGGCAAAGATGTCACTTTGAAGACTAAGGATACCGAACCTAAGCCATGATATTTTCAATCACCTTATATGCATGCGAAAGCTGGACAATGAATAAGGAAGACCGAAGAAGAATGGATCCCTTTGAATTGTGGTACTGGCGAAGAATACTGAAAATACCATGGACTGCCACAGTGCTTTCTAGAAGGGAGAATGGCTAGACTTCATCTCATCTAATCTGGTCATGTTGTCAAAAGGGACCAATCCCTGGAGAAGGATGTCATGCTTGGTAAAGTGGAGGGTCAGAGACACACAGGAAGAACCTTAACAAGATGTACTGACACAGTGGCTGGAATGATGGGCTCAAGCATAACAAGGATTGTGAGGATGGTAAAGGACCAGTCAGTGTTTTGTTCTGTTGTACATAGAGTTGCTATGAGTTGGAATCAACTTGACAGCACCTAACAACAACAATTTACATATTCAACATAATGTATGAAGAAAAGCCACATTAAGTCCCAGAATTATGATATATCAAAACACCATAAAGAAAAATTGTTTAGAGGGGCATGGAAAAAACATGACACACACAAGAATCAAGATTCAGGTTCTCTATAGAACTGAAGTTCCTCATAGAAACACGGAATGTCAAAGACAATAAAGCAATGCTTTCAGAATTTTGAGAAAAAATAATTTCTAATCTGTGATTTTTTACCCAGCTGATAAGTAAGTGTAAGAGTAGAAAAAAGATATTTTTGATAAGTAAAGTCTCAAAAAGTTTTTTTTTTTTTCCCCTAAGTTAATGAAGTATCTGTTCTACTAAATAGAGGTGGAAATCAAGGAAAAGGATATTGAGAATAGGTGCCATGCAGGAGGTCAGAGAATGAACAGATGAGGTATCTCTAAGAAAAAGATCATAGTGCTGGGTAACAGAATGTGTCTGAATATAGTGAGAGATAATTTATACTCCTTTTAGGGAGTTTGAGTATGATGCCATAAAGAAACACCAAAAAAGAACTAGTCATTATTCCACATAAGAGAAACATAGAATTTCAAGACAAAGTTTATATTACATATTTTTTTTTAATGTAGAAAAGAATTTTTGAAATATGTCCTAATGATAACTTCAATTCTGAAATTTTTGTTTCTTTAAATATCTTTTTGAGACATAAGTTAGCTAATTTCAAGGAGATAATTTATCTTTGCAAACAGAACAAATAATAGATTACAAAAAGTAGACCTATTCCAGTAACTGAACGACTAGGATTGAAAATGTTGATTTCTAAAAATTATTGAAAATGTTAACAAGTCAAAAGTTTCTCAACTGTTAAAGACAGTACAGTTTACAATAAACTGAATCAAAAGGAAAAAATTTTAGTGGCTCTGTACGAAACTGGGGATCACTTATTATTTGCAGTAATAAATACACTGCCACAATGCAATGTTTAACAGATACATTCATATACTATTTTAACTTATCCTCACTGTATTTGAGGTATAGTTCCAACTTCAACGGAATATATTTTTATTTTTAATGTTAATTTATCCCAATACTGATACTATTAATAACTAGTGAGTTTATAAAGCACTTTTACATATCTTAATACATTTGAAACTTATACAGTGAATAATAATGTGTTGCTATGTAAATTTTAAAATACATTTGCCCACTAAATGAAAACCAATTTCCTCAAAACTTCTAAATTGATGACCAAAGGCAAAGCACACAGCTACAATTCACGTAGTATATGTTCCTGAAATTCAAGGGTAGTGATCTAAGGGTTTCTGGGGATGCCAATTATTAATGTTTGGTTACTAACCAAAAGGTTGGAGGTGCCTCAAAAGACAAGCCTAGTTATATACTTCTCAAAAGTTAGCCATTAAAAACCTTATGAAGCACAGGTCTACTCTGACACACAAAGGGTCACCATGAATCAGAGGTGACTCATAAGCAACGGTTTTGTGTGTGTGTGTGTTATACCAAAGTAACAATGCTAGACACCTACCATGAAGAGGATTCACACAGAATCCATGAAAAACACTAAGTATTAATTTTTTCAATAATACTTATTGCACACCTACTGTGTTCCAGGCAGTCTGTTACAGTGTGGGATATACCAGTAAGCATAATCAGCTGAGATTCTTGCTCTCATGGAGCTTATAGTCTAATAGAGAAAATAATTAAATAAACACATGAATATGAAAAAAAACTACACATGCTAGGAAGAAAAGTGGCACTATAATAGCACATGAGATGTAGCTGACCTAGTCTGGTGAGTGAAGGGAGGGTGCTCTAAGGAAGATCTGAAGGATAAAGGGGACTTGGGAAATTGAGAAGGGAGAGGGAAGGAGCAAGAAGGGAAAAGTACGTATGTGGAGACATAGGTAGGGGCCAGAAAATGCAGCACCTTTAAGAGCATTTCTTCTGAGGTGTGTGGAAAGGGGTCAAAAGGCAATGTGAAGTCACTGAAAGATATTAAGCAGAAGAGTTAAATATGATTGATCATTTTTAAGTATTGAAAAGGTGCGAGCATGGCAATCTAGGAAATGATGAAACCTGGATGGTGATGGTGGAGATGGAAAGAAAAAGTGGGACATAAAAGCTAAATCAGTAGGTCTTGGTCATGGATTAGATATATGGAAGGGCTTTGGGAATGTCAGCTGATTCCAAGGTTTCTATTTTCTATCTGATACCATTACACAATAAACTTAAGTCTAGCGCTCAGATAGGGAGCTCTGGTAGCGTAGTGCCTAAGGCACTTGACTGTTAACCAGATGGCTGGTGGTTCAAATCCACCAGCCAATCCTTGGAAGGAAGGCTGGGCAATCAATCTACTTTTGTAGTGATACTACCTTGGAAACCCAAGGAGGGGTCGCTATGAGCCAGATCTGACTCGACGGCGCATAACAACAAACAACAGTGCTCAGATGCAAGGTCTGTAGTAGAGGTGCACTAAAGCAATAGTCTATTTCAAGGAGAGAGAGTTTATTAGCATCAAATGCTGCTGCTGGGTTAAGATGAGTATTAAACATGACCAGTAAGTTTAATGATATGGAGGTGGCAAGCTCTTTAGGTGGAAGGATAGAAGAAAACTCCTATATGGTTTGCTGAGGGGTGAGTGGGAGGTGAGAAAATGGAGACAGTGAATATATATCCCTCTTTTAAGAAAAAGTTGCTGTGCAAGAAAAAAGGGAGGGCTGGAGCTGAAGGAGTGGTTCAAGGGATATGCTTATCTTTTTTTTTAATGACAAAATAAATTTAAATTAAAAAAAAATTAAGACTGATAGGAAAGATATGGTTGAGAGGGAAAGACAATATGAGAGAAAATAAGTGAACAGAATTAGGCTCTTGAGAAGGTGGAGAAAATGCAGAGATTGAAGGATTGGTCCTAGGAGAGAGAACTTATCTCTTATAAAAGGAAAAGAAAATGATTACCCTCTGCTGTGATATGTTGTTGTTGTTGTTATGTGTCATCGAGTTGGACCCGACTCATAGCGACCCCTCCTTGGGTTTCTGAGGCAGTATCACTACGGAAGTAGATTGCCCCATCTTCCTTCCCAGGAGTGGCTGGTGGGTTTGAACCGCCAGCCTTCTCAAGTGCCTTAGGCACTATGCTAATGGTAGCATAGTGCCTAAGGCACTTGACTGCTAACCAGAAGGCTAGCGGTTCAAACCCACTAGCCACTCCTGGGAAGGAAGGTTGGGCAATCTACTTCTGTAGTGATATTGCCTTGGCAACCCAAGGAGGGGTCGCTATGAGTTGGCCCACTCTATGGCACATAACTGCTTTGATATATTTGAGCTTCTTCAAAGGAAAAAAAAGAAGCTTAAGGAAGCAACATGTTTTCAGATCTCTCAATTTGTATCATTTACAATTAAGGTGAATATATTACTTTGTACCGTATGTTGGGTTTGAATATTTTCAAATAAGACTCAACTCAGTAAAAGTATAAAGGGACAGATTAAGCTTACATACTAAAGTGCCAATTATATTTAAACCTGGATGTTCATTATGAGAATACAGATCTGCTTTTCATTACGTGGAATAATTGTTGTGTAGTAAAGCACACCAGATACATTCCAATTAGAAACCTACCATCGTTCAATGTGTAGAGATGAAAATATCCGTGAAGCTGCTTCTCGAGTGAATAATTTGAACCCACATTGTGTGTCCCTGATTCCTTTGACACAAAGGAACCACACCAAAAAGTGGAACCCATACATGAGAAGAGTACGGAAGTAAGAACGCTGAAAACAAAGACAAAATATAAATGACTTTTACATGTATCTATAAAACAGACATTGAAAACATCTGACTGTAGACAATTACATTTTAATATTTCATATGTAGATCATACATATGTACATAACTGTTCCACTGTTCCATTAGCTTCATTAGCAAAGTATATTGAAGAAACAGTGAGCATACCTACAATTGAGATGGAGAGCAGAAACCTAGATAAGCAGTTACTTATTTCCTAGAGGTTAAGTCGGATAAGAGAAATCACAATACCTACAACAGCCAGGCTTCAGTCTACCTGAAGAAATAGTTTTAAGCTGCTGTGGGCAAGGAGAACATCTCATTTATAGACTATTTCATGCTTGTTGCTCCATATAAATTTCAGTTTCAAAAAAAGGTGACAGTTATCAGAATGTATTGGAAAAACAAAATTTGAACCTGAAGTTTAATACCTAGCTAATGGAAATATTAATAGAAGTACTGCACAGTACCATAGAAGTTAAAGATTAGAAACTGTATACTCTAAGGAATTTGAAATGAAAAAATTAGTCTTTCTGAGTCAGTATACCAGATGTCTGGATAAGTGATTTAATATTTGAGTTATTTAATACTTTAGGGTTGCTATGAGTAGAAATTGACAGTAGGTTTGGTTTTTGGTTTAGTCTTATATCTAATCCCATATGGGGATTCATTATCGTTATTAATGACTAATTTTATTAGAAGTAGTAACAGAGTAAATAATATTCTAATATTCACTAAATATTGTGAATGTTTAAAATATAAAAATAAGAAATTATTAATTGCTATAGTATTCAACTATAGCAATTAATAATTTCTTATTTTTATATTTTAAACATTCACAATATTTAGTGAATATTAGAATATTATTTACTCTGTAGCATAGTGGCTAAAGCACTTGACTGCTAACCAGAAGGCTGGCGGTTCAAACCCACCAGCCACTCCTCGGAAGGAAGGTTGGGCAATCCTACTTCCGT